GCTATGGGCTCAACCTGCATGATTTTGTTCCTAGTTTAAGACTTTTTCCTTATAGTATATCGCTTTCACCTTGTACTTAATGTTGTGGGATTTGCTTAGGGTATCAGAAGACCCGTTATTTGTATGCTGCCAAATAAAAGAGTCATGCAATATGTGAGAGCTAAGTGGGATAGCTTTGATTTGAAGAGCTTCATTAGGACAGAATAGAGAATCAACCAGATTTTTGTTCCAAGAACAAGACTAACTATTGATCAACTCACTTACATGGGCGTCTTCATTTAAGTGATTAATTGGAGTCAACACTGGAAAGCCTTATTGGTCTGACAACTAGTTATCTTTCCATATATGTATAGATGCCCCATTACCCACTAGCCAGCAAAACCCGTACTACACCACCCATTCATCTTCCATCAAACTACGCCATGCATAGCCAGCGGAAAAGCCTGTTTTCGCAGCCAGGAGGAATAAAGAAAATAATTTTGTAAGTTAAAGTGTTTTTTAATAAATGTAATTTTATGAGTTAAAATGTTTGATGAATAAAAAAAATTAAAGATGTCATAATATTAAAATAATAAAATTCGAGAGTAAATTTATGTATTGACGTATGAAATGGAGATAAAATAACTCCACAGCAAAAATCAACTTGATACTAGATGGAGATTGACCAAATGTGAAAGCAATAGATCTAAAAATAAAATAGAAAAATAAAGAAAAATAAGATTTAGACTCTCATATGTGGAGTTTGTTTTAAAAAAGGAAAGAAAATAAAAAAAAAAGAGACAAAAACCATTGAAAAAAGAGTGAGGGGAGGAGATCCTTGACGAAAAGGCTAAAAGTGTCCTCAAATCTAATAGAAGATGTGTCTACAATTAGGATTTTTTTAGAGAAAAAAGAAAGAAGGCAGCCGCTACTAAATGGAATGTTCATTTATTTTATAACAATTAGAGCATTATAGATCATATAAGCGTAAGTTTTTTATGTCTTATAATAAATAGGGCAGAGTCGGTACATGTGAGATACTCATACTTCATGCACTGACTTGCTCTATATATAATAATAATAATAATAATAATAATAATAATAATAATAATAATAATAATAGGGCAAAGCAAAAACAGATCAAATCAAAAAAATAGAACTAAATTAATTGGTTTGATTTGATTGTAAGGTGTTCAATACAATTTGATTTAAATAAAAAAATAAAAACATATTTAAAAATTGAAAATCAAACCGAATTAAATCTAAAAGATAAAGTAAAATTAGAAAATCAAATAAATTTAGTTTGATTTAATTGAATTTACATATTAAACAGTTGTATAAAAAATAGAGAGAACTCAAAGTATAATGGTGGATAGTCATAAGAACTTCAAAGTCTTGATATCTTTTATTCTTTTTATGACTGTACCCTCACACTTCGTTCTGAAAGGAAGAGAAGACAGAGAAAGAAGCACAAGTATGTTTGAGAATGGTGAGGGATGGGAAAAACAGATGAAAGAATTTCATTTGGCCATAACCAATAACTCTTTTTTTATTTTTAATCTGACTTTCTAAGTAAGAAAATGAGATGGTTCTCAAGAATTCAGTCAAGGCACTGAATTGCAAGTACCCCTTCCATTCCATGCATTGCTTTTTGCGGCTCTATATGATTGGCACCACAATATTATATTCACTTTCATTCCACCGTCTAACTGAATTTATGCTTTATCCATCTTTCTAATTATTTTTGTTTTTGGTTATTTATAAATTGAATATTACTTTAATATCAAAAGTCGCCGGGTTTTGAGTTTTTTTTTAAAAATTTTTCACGAATATTTTACTGTGTATATACATCAGACTAATCTCGATTTGAGATTTAGGACTCATTTTATATAAATGTTTTCTATGGATGGAACCCATTTGACTTTGTCATCCACCGAACTTAATCATGTTTTACTTATTTTTCATACTTTGAATTTAGTTATATTACATTTTGCAATTCAAATTTATGATTCTATAACTTGGTTAAAGAACGATAATTTTATATGGTTAAAGTTATTCAAATAATTAAATTTGCGGCAATAATGCATTTGGATCCCACGTGTATATGTTCCTCTAGACATGTATGGGGAATTAAACACTTAAGAATTTAGATCCCTGTGTAATTTTACTTTCCCATATTCCATTTTATAAAAAAAAATTAATATTATAATGTTAATGCTGATTACAGGCTAATTAAATAGTTATTTATTTTGAAGAAACGAATGTTTGGTTTAACTTAAAATGACTCATAGGTAGAGGAAAGTCAGATGGGTCTGAAAAGTAAGCTGAGCCAATGAACTGAAAGCGGCCCTTCAATCCCAAGGCAACCTAGTCTGTTTATATATGTTAATTATGTTTTTTTTTTCTTCTTTATTGTATTAATAATAACACCTTTTTAAGTATATTGTTAAGAATTAATAATATATATACAGCACAAAGGACTATATCTTATACTTTAATGGTAAAATTATTATTTTTTACATATTAAAATTATTTTCTCTAAAAAAAATTGTATTTGGCAATTGTTAGCCTGTTCATATGTGTTCTCGTAAAATTATAATAATAATTTTCTGAACGAGACATATATTAAATGAGTTATTATAGAATACAATATAAAGAAATGAATTTCTAATGTTACAAAAAAGATTGAAATACAAAAATAATTTGTGATTGTATATTTTAATATCTTTGTTTTATTTTTGTAATATTTATTCTAATAGACTAAAAATAATTTTGTAGTATATTTTTTCATAGCATCTCATTTCTGGAGTAGAAATGATTACTTTCATCTTGAAATTTCTATTAATAAATGTAACGAGGGATTTTTTTTTTCCAATTGTAATAAAGACATTTTTTTAAACATTTTCAAAAAAGTTGGCACAATTTTTTTTTTGAATCCAAAAGCAATCTTTCTTTTTTCATTATTTTGACGATATAGCATGTTGTGTCAGGTAGCTTGAAATTTCTGGACATAATTGCATTCTAAAAGCAAATTAAGATTATGATTTTTTATCAGAATAATGTTAAAAGTGCACTATATAAAAAAAAAAAAAAGTGGAATGAACCCTTTGAATTAAAAGGGAAACAAGTGCTATACAAATTATTCAAATAACAAACAAGAAATTTAAATTCAAGTATTCGTATAATAAAATTGAAAGAAAAAGATCGAGATTAGGTCTTTAATTTTAAAAGTGAATCAATTTTAAAATTATAAAAATAATGAATTTTATACTAATTTAAGATTACTTTTCCTAGAACAAAAGCAACGAGTATGGCGATTCCTTCGTCATTATCTGTGGTCACAGTTTGATTTCCTAAGCTGGAGGAGAAAAGAGGCAAAACAATTAATTTTTTCTTTTTATTTCAAATAGTATGTTTTGCATTTAACTAAACTTGAGTTAGTTATTAAATCTAATTTTATATTGTTTTAATCAAAATCCTAATCTTAATTTACTTTTAAGTGTAATTGCAATATACTGGTTAGTTTATAGTACTCTAATTCACTTTTACAATGCAACTGTATTATAAAATATAAAAGCAAATTAATGTATAATTATAATTAGATTGATAAGTTCAGGCTACTGGAATTATAACTATTTAAAAAGTATAAGGTGAAATTGATTTTTTCATTAAAAATTTTTATTTTTAATTTATAAATTTATTACTAATTAATACATTTAGATTAAGTGATTAAGTTGTGTTAAGATCTCAGAAACTGAGGTGTAATAAATTGTGAATCCATCCCTTAATGGATTAATTTTGAGTATATATAGTGGACTTAGAATTGTTTTAAGATAAAGATTACGAATCCTGTATTATCTGTTAATATGAACTTAGTTAAGAGTTTAATATTATTTATTATTGTATGTTAATAGGTTGAAATTTTTTAAAGTCTAATGTCCATTTAAGCCACAATTAATAAATTATTCAATGAATATATGAGTAATGAAGATTGTAGGCAAGTACTTGCCGGAGGGAAAATTTAAGTCAATCTCTTGTCAAGTGAGTTTCAATTGAATTAATGATATTTGAACCACTAGTTGTAGCTGCATATTTGAACAGAGTTATACAGTTTGTTGTCCCAGGTGCTTCCCTGTAAGGCGGAAAATCCTCTGCACATCACCGTATATGGTGGTGCATAAAAGGAAACTTAAAGAAATCATAGCTAATAATATACGGTAAATTTTCCTTTTATTCACATAATAACAATTGTCAGATTACATGGTATCAATTTAGTGGATATGACATTATTTTCTCCATCTTACCTAACTTCAATATCTTTTAAATGTCAATAATTGTTTTTGGTTGCTATTAAAATTTCCAACCCTGTGTCTAATTATAAAAAGGAAAAAGAAAAAAAAAAAAAAGGTTATGCATCAATCATCCCTTCCTTTAAATGACACAGTACATACCATTAATATAATTTATTTTGAAGAATTATAAAACTTGTAGCTTTGGTACTAAAACTGAAGAATTAAAACTTAAAACTAAAGAATTAAAATTAAAAAGTGAGATGAGATGACATAAATTCTTTCTCCATTAATTAGATGTTTTGTGTTCGAATCTTAAGTATGGAGTTTTTTTGAATACTCGAAGGGGAATGATTTGTCTTTTTTTCTAAATCTGCCCGGTGCAAATTTAAATTAATTAAATTAATGGGTTTTTGAAGACTGAATGGCTAAAAAAAAAAAATGTAGAATTAAAGAATGAGGCCAAACCTCGTAATGAAAACAAATTTGTTACTTACTAAAATACAAGTAATAAATTAGTTAATTAAAGACTTGACACATGTCATTCTTAGCTAGCTTGAGGTATGATTATTGCTGCTTATCCACTTATATTCAAACAAAAAATAATACATATATGCAAACCCAACTTATGACATTAACCTTGTCCATATCTGTTCCCGTCATATTTATTTTGCCGCCGTATGCCAAACTTTCAATCGTGCAAAATTTTTTTAAGTTGGCCATCTAACGGTCGTTCTCCTTACGCTCTGAAAGCCTTTGAAAATTAGAATTACGTATCCATCAATGATATTTATATTCACACTTCCACTTCATGTTCCTCACCAGTCCACAAACTCGAATTTCATTTCTTATAGTAATCTGTCTTTCTTTAATTGATTCTCTCTTCTTTTCTCAAGCTTTTTCAGCTCTTAAACAATGGGATCTGAGTTTCTTGTTCATGTGCTGCTTGTTTCTTTTCCTGGCCAAGGCCATGTCAACCCTTTACTTAGACTTGGCAAGCGTCTTGCTTCTAAGGGTTTACTTGTTACTTTCACTACACCGGAGATCACCGGTAGACAGATGAGGAAGTCTGGTAGCATCTCTGATGAGCCTACTCCGGTCGGTGATGGCTACATTCGTTTCGAGTTTTTTGAAGATGGTTGGGGTGATGATGAGCCTAAACGCCAAGATCTGGATTTATACTTGCCTCAACTTGAATTAGTAGGCAAAAAATTGATCCCTGAAATGATCAATAGAAGCGCCGAACAAGGCCGTCCAGTTTCTTGCCTTATAAATAACCCATTCATTCCTTGGGTTTCTGATGTAGCTGAAAGTCTTGGTCTTCCTTCTGCTATGCTTTGGGTTCAATCTTGTGCTTGTTTTTCTTCTTATTACCATTATTACCATGGTCTGGTTCCCTTCCCTAGCGAAGAAGACCCAGAAATAGACGTTCAATTACCTTGTATGCCTCTTCTTAAATACGATGAAGTCCCTAGCTTTTTGTACCCTACAACTCCTTACCCTTTCTTGAGAAGAGCCATTTTAGGTCAATACAAGAGCCTTGATAAACCTTTTTGTATTTTAATGGAGTCTTTTCAAGAACTTGAGCCAGAAATTATTGAATACATGTCAAAACTTTGCCCTATCAAACCTGTTGGTCCTTTATTCAAGAACCCTAAAGCTCCAAACTCAGCAGTTCGAGGAGATATCATGAAGGCTGATGATTGTATTGACTGGTTAGATAGCAAACCACCATCATCAGTTGTTTATGTGTCTTTTGGTAGTGTTGTGTACTTGAAACAAGATCAATGGGACGAGATTGCATACGGGTTATTAGACTCAGAAGTTTCATTTTTATGGGTTATGAAACCGCCACATAAAGATTCTGGTTATGAAGTTCTTGTTCTGCCAGATGGGTTTTTAGAGAAGGCAGGAGATAGAGGAAAAGTAGTACAATGGAGTCCACAAGAGAAAGTTTTGGCTCATCCTTCAGTTGCAGCCTTTGTAACACACTGTGGTTGGAATTCTACAATGGAGGCTCTTTCTTCTGGTATGCCGGTGGTGGCTTTTCCTCAATGGGGTGATCAAGTGACTGATGCCAAGTACCTAGTCGATGTTTTTAAGGTTGGGGTTAGAATGTGCCGTGGCGAAGCTGAGAACAAGTTGATAACAAGGGAGGAAGTGAAAAAATGCTTGATTGAGGCAACTGTAGGTCCAAAGGCAGTAGAAATGAAGCAAAATGCACTGAAATGGAAGGAAGCGGCAGAGGCTGCGGTGGCTGAAGGTGGTTCCTCTGATAGGAACGTACAAGCTTTTGTGGATGAAGTAAGGAGAAGAAGTGTCGAGATACATACTGGTAAGTCAAGTGTTAGCATTGTGGAAAAGGAAAATGTTGACTTGGTCATGGAGCCTCATGGAGCCTGAAATCATCAAAAAGGAAAGGAAAATTGTTGACTTGGTCATGGAGCCCGAAATCAACAAAAGGAAGGAAAATGTGATTCGTCCAAAGGAGCCCTGAAATCATCAGCGAACATGAAAATTATGTTGACTTGGTCATGGAGCCTGAAATCAACAAAGGAAAGGAAAATGTTGACTTCGTCAAGGAGCCTGAAATCATCAAGCGAAATGAAAATGTTGACTTGGTCAACGAGGCCAAAAGCAATGGTGAAGTGGAAGAGCCCATAAGCAATGGAAAAGCAGAAGAAATATTGGTGGTGTGATCAAAGCATAGAATGATTTTTATTTTTATTTTAAGAATAAAAATATATTAAGAAGAAAAATACCCTTTGGTGGGGTAGGGTGTGTTGTTTATTTTATTTTCAATTTTCAGTTTCCTGGGAATCTTGTTTTATGGGAATCATGTACCTTAGTAATCTGTTATTATTCTAAGAATGGTCCATTTCCATGTGCTTTACATACCAAATTTTTCTTTCTTCCATTTTAATCTTTTTATTTATATTTCAATAATTTTCAATTATATAAGGCAATAGGTTTTTTTAAATATATGATTTCAGAAAAATGACAAATTTCGATTAAATCTGCAAATTACATGTGATTAATGGAATTATTTATTTATTTATTTGTTGGGAGATTCAACGAATGGAAAGAATATTGAGAGCTATATAATGGAAACATTTCTTCCATTTATTCACCAAATTGATAAAATCTTTTATAGTCAAAAGACCTTTTATGATTATGATCGTCGAAATTTAATTATGTAAAATTTTGAAATGATTTAATTTAATTTTTATTATTTATTTTTGTTCCATTGATAGAAAAATAAGCAAAATAATTCAACTTCAGAGATAAAAAGTAAATTTTTTTATGAAACGAGGTTTAAAAACTTACAACCGCTTATAACATTTTACATTTTTTTTTATTTGATTCATTTTTCATATTTTTCATTTTAACTTTTGTAATTTTATATACAGTTCCTTTGCGATCCTGAGATATAAAGCATTGACTAATAGAATAAGATAAAACGTAGGCACAAGAGTAAATTCTGTGAAATAGAAGAGAACTTTGATATGCAATGCAACCAACATTTTATAGCTCACTTCTGAAATTAAAGCTTTTACTATAGAAAAGCTTTTCCTGGGCTTCTTCCCTTTCGATTGGCTGTCATATCCCATCTCATCTTCTTCCTGGTTTGACTATTAGGTTAGATCATGATTTAACTAGTGTTTTTTATAATCATTTTGTTTAGTTTCTTTTAAATTTCTGTTCCCCTCATCGTACAAAAAAAAAAAAAAAAAATTACTATGGAAAACTGAGATGCACGTCAAGGAAAGGAAAGAGATGTACTATTATTACTAGAAAGATTTTTGTATCTTGCAAATTTAACCATGTAGCACTTTAAAAATTTACTATCGAATACATAAATTCACCTTTAAATCCTGCAAATTTAACTATGTAACACTTTAAACTTTGTGGATGAGCAATTTTGTATTTAAAAATATTGGTAACCTGTGTCATACACCTATCCGCATTAACAATAACAATTTTTAAGGTTTTCGCTAGTCTTAAGGTGACATTAATTCCAAGAGTTGTGTTCTGAACATATTAAGGTTTGAGTATTGAGATCTATACTTTTTAAGTCTTCAGGGGTCCCAATTTGAATGGAATTAGGACTGTAAGAGACAAAATTAGGGTTTTTGAGAAGCTTCACAAATCCAATTAAGATTGGGGTTTGGAACGAACAAATTTCCCATGATTTGAATTGAATTAGATGCAAGGATGTTTGAGTTACTGCAATTTCCATTAAATTAGGGTTATTAGTTGACAATATGCGATTTTCCATAATTTGATTTTAATTAAGGTTCAGGTGAGATTGAGCAGCCCTGAATTCAAAGAAATTAGGGCTAGAATTGGAGATTTCTCCTATTTCTTGATGTCGAGATATTAGAAAAAACACATGATTCTCACACATGGATGTCAACATATAACTTCTAAGATCAACCATGCTATTTATTATGAAAGTTCCTCCAAACTGCAACTTTGAGTTGATTCAGCCCACATTACTGTGAATTGAGTTTGTGTAAGCTCATATATAGTATTAGTTATCTCCGATTTAGTTCTAGTTATCATTCCGTCTTTAGTGAAATCAATCTCGTGTCGCAACTTGAAATTGCTCATAAAGCAAAGAGAGATCTCTCTCTTCTAAGGCTTGTATACACAATGCATTAGTCATGGTGCTTCGGTTAGGTTAGTTTTGAGTCACGAACGCTATGATTTGGCAGAGATCAATGGTCTACGAAAGTATTTTACAATGGTCTTTATTACTAAGCGCGAAGGAAATAAGGCTTTTGACTGCTACATCTTTATTTATTTTGCAATATCTACTGGGTCCAAGATAATTGTATTAGGATAAGGATTACGAATCCTATAATACAATCAGTTAGAGTTTATTTAGGAGTGTAATATTATTATTTTAATATATTTTATTATTATATGTTAACAGTAGTCTCCCATTAATTATTTGGTCATTTTATGTCTGTTTAGTTTATTACTTATGTATTATTTATTATTATTGTTATTATTATTATAGGCTTTTATCACGTTGCTTTGGGAAGGCTGTCAGAAAATGATGGCTTTATTTTGAGGAGAATGAGGCGTTGGTCTCGGGGGAGGCACTTGAAGAGTTACTTCATTAATGAGGGGACTCTTCAGTGCCTCGCTTGGCCTATATAAGGCACCTTGCTTATTTTATTTATTTCACTCTTCATTTTTTGATCATTAGAGCGTCACTCTCTAGAATTCTCTCTCTAACTTCTCTAAGTAAGCTTTTTATACTTTCTTCTTTCTTTTTTAGAGGTTTGGGTCATGGATTCTCATGGGGATGAAGATGTTCAAGTCTTGCTTGACCAGTCTAGTGACTAGCATGTTTAGGACTTAGACTCAGGGTAGGCAAGGCCAAAGGCAAGAAAGAGAACGTTAGGATTGCTGACATTCCGTCTGACATTGACGGGGCGAGCTATTGGACATATGTTTTACATACAACATTGCGCCAGAGTACAAGTTGATTAGGCCTTTAGAAAATATGAGGGTGACCGAGATATTGGATGAGAATTCCATCATGATGTACGGGGAAAGCTTCCAATCTAGGGTTCGGTTTCCTTTATCCAAGCTCAGAAATCGTTTTTTAATGACTACAACATCACTATCAGCTAGTTACATCCGAACGGCTTAAGGTTCTTGTGCGGAATAATTGCGTTGACTCCCAAGATGGATATGTGGTGTCGGCTTGGGCAGTGTGAGAACTTTACCACTGCTCGGTTCGCCTTAACAAGGAGCATTGCTTTCTTCAAGCAAAGAATAACTACAATATCTTTTGCCAGGAAATCTAAAATTTCTTCCTTTAAGAATTGGAAATCTAGATACTTCATAGTTAGGGGACCTGGAGGGTTTGGGGTGCCGAACCGATGATCTGAGGATCCCCTTCACCATCTTCTTGCCTCGTTTACCCCTTATGATCGGCTCTGTGTGGACTTAATAAAGGCTTAGGGGCTTGGGTCTGTTAACCTAAGGCAGGTGATAGCCAAGGGTTATCCAACCTGTTCTCCTAGCGAACTGAGAAGACCTAGCCCATCTTTCCCTGGTAAATTTTATTCTTAAAGGCTTCGCCTTTGTCATTTACACTAACATCTCTTAATTTTTCTTCTTATTCTTGTGCAGAAATGGCTTCCAAGAAGTCTTAAAGCTCTAAAATGGCGAAGGTTGCTGAAGCAATGAGAAAGAAGGCTGCCACTGAGAGTTCGGAGAGAGAGAGATGCCTTCTATGATTCCCGATATTCAGCGAACTGAAGCTAGCACTGTTGTAGGGGCTACTCCTTTCGAGCTGCCTCCATCAAGTGCATCATTCAAACCTCTAAGAAAAAGACAGAGGGAACCTGTCTCTGTTCCCCCTCATGTTCCTTCTAGGTCGATGGATATCCGAGGCTACTTCCTGCACAAGTATGTAGCAAACTACACTCTTCAGTAGGACAGGCCCAGCCAAGAGATGGCTCAGAACTGTCTTTTCCCTACTAATGCTCACTACTTTGATCATCTGGATGATGTGGCAACCAGAGATCTGATCAAATATGCTTGTTTAAGGCTATAAATGCCAATAGCATGCACTTTGCTCGGATAATCAAGTTAAAGATAGGTTGTATTGAGATGGAAGTGAAGAAAAATCAGATGGAGGATGCCCTGAAGAGTGCTGAAGTTTCCATGAGGGAACAGGAGGCTCAGCATAAGGCAGAGATTGTTGCTCGGGATGTTGATATAGACAAACTGAGAGAGGAGAACTGGGATTTGCTTAATAAGAACAAAGAACTTGAGAGCAAGGTACAAGAAATGGAGAAAGAGCTGTAGAGGTTTCGAGATTAGGAAGGGTTTGAGGAGGATGATCTGGCCAAGGCCTGCTTAAGCTTGAGGACGAACATTATAAACGAGCTGAGGGTGAAGCAGCCAGAGGTGGAATGGAGCTGGGTGAATGAAATTTACCCTATTGAAGCTAAGCACGATGAAGAAGATGGGGGCGGCGAGGAGACTGGGGGTGATGGTGTACCTCAGGATCCGGTGATGGCGTACCTCAGGATCCAAAACGCAGATGGTTCGCCTCTTCAGCCAGAAGGGGATGCATATATCCATGCCATCTCTTTTGAGAGGCAGAATACTGTTGTAGCATAGGCCCAAACTTTTTGTACTTAGTTTATTGTAGGATCTCTTTATAACAACTTATGTAATACTTTTTGGTTTAATGAGAAGAAAAGAGGTTATTGTCCCTTTGTTTAAGCGTTGTGTTTTCTTCTAAATATTTAATTAAGCTAGTGTTGTTCTTCTTCATATCACATGTATACTTAATCTTTCGTATAAAAGAATTGTGTATGTTCGAGCTAATGGACTTGGTGAAGAGGACCGCTTAGGTCAACTGTGTGAAC